TTTTAGTTTCTTTAGAATAGCTAATTATTATAAGGCTAGTTTTAGTTTCTTTAAAATAGCTAATTATTATAGAGCTAGTTTTAATTTTCTTAAAATAATTAATTATTATAAAGCTAGTCTTAGTTTCCTTAGAATAACTAATTATTATAAGGCTAGTTTAAGTTTCCTTAAGATTAATTTAAGTATCCTTAGAATAGCTAATTATTATAAGGTTAGTTTAGGTTTTTTTAATATTAACTTAGATTTCTTTAATTTTTAAGTTAAGTTATAATATAAGTAAAGGAGTTAATAATAATAAGTAAGAAGAAAGTAAAAGAGTAAAGTAAAATATATAATATTAATATAAAAGAAGTTAAAAAGTAAAATAAAGTAAGAAGTATTAAAAATAAAGAAGAAAAACTAAAGAAGAAGATAAAGTAAAAGTAAACTTTTATAAAAAAAAGTTAAAAGATAATAAATTATTAAAAATTATAACCTTAAGACTAAAGAGAACTATAAATTATCTTATTATAAGCTAAATAATAATAAATTACTATAAATTATAACCTTAAGGAGAAAGCTATAAACTATTTTATTATAAACTAAAAGATAATAGATTATTAAGTATTATAAATCACGACCTTATAATTAAAAAAAGCTATAAATTATCTTATTATAAGTTAAAAAATTATAATCTTATATTAATAAGTATGAAGATATATTATATATCTTTAAATCTTTCTTCTTTTTTATTCTTTAACTTATATAACTTTTAATTTCTCTTTATCTTTTTATACTATATACTTTTTATTTTTAATTAAACCTCTTAAATCTATTAAAACTAACTCTTTTCTTTACTTTTACTTAAGTTATATCTCTTTAACTTTTACTTTAAGATATATCTAAATAAGGCGGAAATATTAAAAGTAATAATTAAAGAGAGTAAAACGTAAGAGAAAGTAATTAAAAAGGAAACTTAAATTAAAATTAAGAAGGTAATTAAGAAGGAAACTAAGGTTAAAATTAAGAAGGGAATTAAAATTAATAATTTATAAGCTAATATGATCTATCTTAAAACCGATATAATAAGCTTATATATTAAACTCCTCGTAGAAAAATATAGTTTTAGAGAAGAAGATAAATATTTATAGATAAAAAGTATAAGACTTATTGAAGAGAGAATGTAGTAAGAATATAAGGAGTCTTAAACTTTAGAGTAATAAATAACTAATAAAAATAAGATAAAACGCTTTAAGTTTAATATTTACTAGATTTATTATTAAAACTTTAAGTAGAAGTAATATTAATTTTAAAGAGAGAAACTTAAACTTATAATAATATTAAAGAAGGTCTTATAGAAGAACTAAAAGATCTATATATATAGCTAAATAATAAATAGACTTATAATATTATTTAAGAGCTTAAGTATAATTAATATTAATATAAACTATAAGAAGGGACTTTACTTTAAATATAATATCAGTAAAAAAATCTAGCTCTAGGCAGCCGCCGGCTAGCCGCTAAAGGCGCTATTTTCGCTATTCTAACCTAAGTTATATGTCGATTAATTTAATAGCTAGCGACCCCTAAAGCGGTATATAGTAATTTTAGCCGGCGCCCTAAGCGCCTTAGGCGCCTTCGACGCTATAGGTGCTTATAAGCCTAATTAGGACTAGCGTATAAAATAAAAGTGGGCCTGATTTTTTATATTATATAAGATATATTAGTAAGCTTACTAAAAGCTTTAATAATACTAAGAATACTAAGGATACTAAGGATACTAAGGATACTAATAAGAGTATACCTTATAAGGGGTATTATTAGGCTTATATCGCCCGATTAGGCAAGGCGGCGACTTACTCCTATATAGAATTTACCCGAATCGAATTATAAGCTTATTAATGATTTTTTAGCGTAGATATTTATAGTATTAAAGGCTTAGCGAGACTAGTTTTAAAGATATATATAGAAAGTACAGGTCTTTTTAAATTCTTAGTTAAAATCTACACTAGTCTAATTATTTTTAGTTAGTTTAAAATCTAAAAATAAACTTAACTTTTAATTTTTAATTCTAATTAAAAATATTATATCTTTCTTAATTAGGTCTAGCTTATATATAAAAGTAGATCTTATAAAGGGCGCCTAAAGCGTATAAGGCAGCTTTTTATTATTTAAGGCTAACGTATAATAGCCTCTTATATTTTAAGGCGCCTTAAGCGTAAAAAGCGACTATTCGGCGAAAACAGCGAAAATAGCAGGTAGCACGTGTACCTGGCGTCAGAATTTTTTACTAATAAAAATAAAGAATATAAAGTAAACTAAATAATATAATTTAATAATAAGGATAGTAATAATTAGAGCGTAAAATATAAGTAACTTATTAACTTACTAAAGGCGAATTAGGTTTTTTATATTATAAATAGAGAAAATCCTCTAAGAGAGAAGAAAGAGAATACTTAATATAAGTAGTATAATAAATATAATCTCTTAAGAAGAGAATTTATTAAATATACTTATAAGATTAAGTTTATTAATTAAAAAGATAATTAAAAGACATATATAAATATAAGATTTTTATACTAATAAAACATAGCTTTAAAAATATCTATTTATCTATAGAATAAAAAGATATAAAAGTTCGATTTAAGAATATAAGGAAGTTAAAGTCTTTTAAGTTAATCTTAAAATATAATAATATTCCTTAATTATTAGTTTTAATTTTATACTATAACTTAAACGCTACTATTATATTATATCGGATTTTATAAGCTAATTATATTTTCTAAATTACTTTAATAATTAATTAAAAGATTACGATAATATTTATTAATATTCTTCCTTTAAGAGTTATTCTTTTAAATTAGAGTTTTAATCTATAATACCTCTTTTCTTCTTTAATAGAATAATAAGTAATTCTGCTTTTATTAGTAAAAAATTCTAACGCTAAGTATATAGACTACCTACTATTTTCACTATTTCCGCTAAATAGTCGCTTTTTCCGCCTAAGGCGGCCTTAAAATATAAGGGGCCGCTATATAGCGGCCTTAAATATTAAGAGGCTACCTTAGGATCCCTAGGAGCTATTACTTATTATATAAGCCGGGCCTAATTAGAAAAGATATAATATTATTAATTAGAAATAAAAATAAAATTTTTATTTTATTTTTAGATTTTATACTAACTAAAAATAGTTAGACTAGCGTGGATTTTGATTAAAAATCTAAAAAGATATATACTTTTCGCGTACGTCCTTAAAACTAGTCTCACTAAGTCTCTAACGCTATAAATATCTATACTAAAAATTTACTAGCGTATTTATAATTCGATTCAGGTAAATTCTATGTAGGAGTGAGCCGCCGCCTTACCTAATCGGGTGATATAAGCCTAATAATACCTCTTTATAAAGTATACCCTTACTAATATTATTAGTATTCTTAATATCTTTAGTATTACTAAGTCTTTTAAGCTTACTAATATACCTTATATAATATAAAAAATCAGACCTACTTTTATTTTATACGCTAGTCCTAATTAGGCTTATAAGCACTTATAATATCTTAGTCGCTCTAGGCGCCTACGTTATTAATTTAAATTAGTATATACCGCTTTAGACTCTTATTTTTTAAATATATAACTTAGACTAAAAAACGCGAAAATAGCGCTTATAGCGGTTAGCCGGCGGCTACCTAGAGCTAGGTCTTTTAACTAATATAATAAGAGTATTAGATCTAAAAGATATAAACTTAATATTTAAAAGTAATTAATAAAATACTTTATTTACTAAGCTTTAGTTCTTTTATCTTATAGGTTTTACTTTTTTTATTAAGTTCTTTTATTTAATTATCATATATTTATATTACTTATAACGTAAAACAGCTAATATTAGTAATATTTAAAAAAGTTAAAGATATATTAATATTATTAGTTAAAGATTACTTAGTATTTCTAAAAGTTATAAGTATTATTTTCTTTATAAAGAATAAACTAAAAAAAGAGTTATAAGTTAATTAAGTTATTATAATAAAAAAGAAAGAAAAAGTAATTACTACTCTTTTTTTTAAGTTATTAGTTTCAAAAAGTACTATTTATTAATAAAAGTTAATATAAGACTTTTTATATAAATCTCTCTTTATAATAAGAGATCTTAAAAGAGTTTAAAAGGTTTAAATAGTTACTATCTTCTTAAATAATATATAAAAAGTTATAAATAATATAATACTTATCTTATAAAAAGCTAATATTACATAATAATATTAGTCTTTTATATTAATAATATTAAGTAAAAGTAATTAAGATTCTCTTAAAATCTATAACTAAGGAAAAAAGAAAGTAAAAGAGATAAAAAAAGTAATATATAAAAAGTTAAAAAAATCTTATTTAGCTTAAGTTATACTATCTTAATTAGGAATAATAAACTGAGCTATTTAAACTGTAGAGATACCTTTAAATCGTTAAGAAAGAAGTAATAAGATATAAATAAGTTATATTAAAGAGTTAACTAGAAAGTAAGTAATTTATTTAAGTTATTATAAGAAATTAAAAGATATATTATTTAAAAAAGAAGTTAAATATTTAATAAATAAGCTTATTTAAAGTCCTTAAAAAGAAAAGCTATTTATTTTACTTAGGACTCCTTACTTTTATAGAAGTCTACTTTATCTTTTTAATAATAAGCTCTAATAATATAATTATAATCTACTTTTTAAATAAGTATTATAAGAATAAGAACTTATTTATATAAATATAAAATAAAAGTAAAAAGTTTAAAATATCTTAAGTATATATCTCAAACAAAATAAAATATTAAAATATTAAGTTAATTAAAAAGGATTCAACTTTAACTTAAAGTTCTATTTTATTAAAAAATTTATAGCTTACTTATATAAGCTTTAAGACCTTTATTAAACTTACTTTAAAAAACTAAAACTACTTCAGTTATCTTTTTAATAATTAACTATATAAGAAGTAAATAATAATAATATATTTAATAAACTATATAGATTTTTTTTATAATATAACTCTTATTGACCTGGTAAATCCATTGCATGAATAAAATAACTACTGAACTCATTAGGAAACCTCCAAGATCTATTCTCTCGTTGTTTTGCCCCAAACTTCTCTTTCATTACTGTCCTTACAGAAATATCAACATTCTATAATACTAGTTAGCACGCGTAGCGCAATTCAATGAAAGACTGGCTCACGGTAAAAATACCTGGCTCACGGTTGTGTTTCTCAGCTGCTGCATCAGTGTCTGAGTCTCGTTGAAGTCCTATTTTTGTCGTGAGTAATGCTCGGGATACCGACAAAAGCTAATTACCAATACTCCTATCGAAATGAAATAATGGAGGTGTCAAACTCAAGCAGTTCATATAAAGCCAGCAGTTATTTGCAAGGTCTGAGTCGAAATTCGCCACGACTTTGCCTAGACTCGCATGGTACCTTGGCACAGTGTGAGCATTTTACAACAACAGAGCAAAGCAAAGTTTACGTACAGAATTTTCTGCGCGCCTGCATAACTCACAGCATATGCGTACGTACAAGCTGGAAAGTCAGTCGGATGCAAGAAGCGAGAACGCTCTGGAAGCTCTTTAACGGCATCAAAGCCTGGGCTGAGATCTGCGCGTGGGGGTACTGTTGGGTCGTTGATCTGGATCTTTCGGTTATCGTCTGCTGGGAATCTTTCTCCAATGTTTCCTAGCCATAATAAGCTTTATTATATCAGTATTCATGCAAGATATTACATAATCTTGGATTGCTTGACTTACTCCCAGTCTGGAGGAAGTGTTGAGGACCCTGACTTTTGGTCCTTTAAGTACGCTTCAAGGACCCGTTGCATCTGCTCGCGCACTCTAATGTCCCAGTCCACATCATCCTCAATGATGAGAGCGGTAGATATACCTTCATCTACGACTCTGGCATAATTGTCAGCAAGAGTCAGTCAGAACAAGCGGAATAAAAGACTCGTGTTGAACTTAACTAGCTACCTTTTGATGGTATTCAAATGAGCTCGCCAGCTTCCAGCGAATCCGGGTTTCATAACTGATTTAGGATCCTTAAAATTACAAATGTCAGCTATGAGAACTGTCATTGGAAGACACCTTCGAATCTCACTTTTGGGATCGTTTTCTCTCGTACATCTTCCCCTCGGATTCCAGGCACCACTTCAATGTTGATTCCTGATAGCGCAGACATTAAAGTCAAAGCATCTTGCCGATCCGTTCTTGACGGTAGACTGATCGCGAATATCTTCTGGAAATTAAGTGTTGAGTTTGTCGGTTCTACATAACCTGGATGGGGTTTTGGAGCTATAAAGATCTTTCTGGGATTTGATGTACTGTAAACATAGAGAACGACGATGCAAATAATAGCGGCATAGCCGATAGAAAACTGTGATCTTCGGGCGATGCCGCCGCCAATCTGAAAGATTTGTTTGCTCATGATAGTCAGATGAGTGGGCGCTTTTGAGATATTGCTAGATTCGGGAGAGTGAATGCTTGTAGTTGGTTTCTTTTGACTTGATATTAAATGTTCCCTCAGAATCATTTGCTGAAGCCGTCTCCTGCTGATAGAGAGAACTCATAAAGCCGGTAGAGCAAAGTCTGTCAGCACGTTCGAGACTAAAATCACTTAAACGCCTTCAAACGAGGGGTACGAGTAATGAAATAAACAGGAGTATCCCGGAACCTTCTTGTGTTTCGTTGCGATCTTCTGAACGACAAGGGTGACTTTCAATATCGCTCTCGCAGCTAAAAGATGAGCAGAAGATGAAACAATATCCACAGCATATTTGCAACCAGTAGACCTTTACAGTCAAGGCGATCATATCTTTGATTTTGGCCGTAAGGTAAAAAAAAAGTACGACATCCCGCCTACGCAGACCATGGGATTTAGTTGCACTGAACCAAAGCGGTGAGCCATCAGGTAACCCCCGTAAACAAGGTCCTGTAGTTTCAGCGAATGCGATGATGAATACCTAGCTGGGTATGTTTCAGACTTCGGAATGTGAAACTACCTGGTAGATTTCTTACATTGAAAAAAGCAGATTTCCCATGTCAAAAGTCAAAAGATAGTGCACTTACTCACCTCAAAGGTCAGGCTTTGCGTCTGAGCAACGCGATTGATAAGGCTGCATGGCCACAAAGCAGCGTAGTAGTTGAGCTAAGACCTCTGATAGAGCCCTTCCGGAGAACTTCCCTCTTTCAAACTTTTTTTTACCTCATCATGCTATCCAGCCTTGCAACTGGAGCCTTTTTTGTTGAAGAGGAAACTGAACATGGCTCTCGGACCTCGAGCCATAAAGCCAAGCTACAGAGTATATCTCGAGGAACCGAAGATTTCCATCTAGTCAAGAATACTGTCGTCTCAAAGCAGTTCGTTCTGATACAAAACATAGTTGAGATGAACCTTAAACTTAAAACATCGTCCTCGGAGACTTCTAGTCAAGAATACTGTCGTCTCAAAGCAGTTCGTTCTGATACAAAACATAGTTGAGATGAACCTTAAACTTAAAACATAGTCCTCGGAGACTGATTGATGGTCATTTGTCACCCTGATTGGTTCTTTGATGCCTTTTCCTCGTCCGACCAAGTCCCTTCTCTTCCGGCGAATCATTCATCTTGATTCTAAACCGTAGCCTCCTCTAGAACAGATTGCCAAATTCGTCAACGATTCCGGAATCCCGGAATCTGCAAAATAAGGCTTCGGATTCGGCAATCAGCTGTAGTTCCGTACAGTTTTGGTCCAATATTTCCTTTGAGAAATTGGATATAAATAGCACTCTGTTGGTTCAGCGGGTAGACTATACCCTAGAGTAACAAGGTTATCGTCGTCATCATTTGCCCCTCCTCCCTTCCTGTCCCCCTACTTAAGCATTAATTTCCTCGTCTCAAGATAGTACTTATAGCTCATCCGCCGCTAGTTCCTCTTTACACCCTTTTCTTTGTGCTGTGCTTTAATACAACGGCTCTTTCCACAAAGAAGCTCTGGAAGCTCTGAATCTTCTTCTTTTCGCGATCACAGGATCAGCAAAATAATCTACTGCCAAATATTTCTTTATAACTCCCTAGCAGGCTCTATATTCTAATTACAACCCATCACCATGTCAGTTATGAAAGAGAAAACCGACTATGGAACTCCACTCCAAACTCGAAATCGTGTTCGCGGACCAGCAGGCGAAATATACCAATTCGTTGAAGTGATGGAAAACACTGAGGACGAGATGTACGCGACGGATCGAGCAAGAAACATCATGAAACTGCTTCCAATTACAGCTTCTGCAGCTATCGTATCCTCGTTCGCCTATTGGAAACTCTACGTGGGGCAACTGTTGATATTTAGATCGCGGGGACAGAACATGAATGCCCGTCTCTTCTTTGCTATGATAGACCTCCTAGTTGCTTGTGAGAAGTCTTCAAAGTTGTACTTCGATAGGCATTGTTGCTTACTTTTTACTAGTATCGGTTGCGGTTAAGGCACTTCTTGACTCTATCGCCATCCTCACTCCCAACAGAAAAAGACCATATCTACGCTTGACCGGATCGGTGGCTCCCATGGTGGACATCATTATCACGACTTGTAATGAGGACGTGGACACCTGTCTCGACACTATTCGGGCGGCCATGAATATCGATTATCCATCATCGAAATTCAGAGTCCTTGTTGCCGACGATGGGGCCTGCTCCGAACTCAAGCAGGCGGTTGAGGACATTTCGGAGAAGACCTCTCCGCAAAAATTGTTCTACACTTCTCGTGTAAAAGGAAAGGATGACCGTCACAAGGCCGCTAATCTCAATCATGCCCTGAGAGTTCTCTCTAAACTTTCCGGGGGATCTTCTCCCTACGTAGCAGGCTTTGATGCCGACATGATCGCCGAGAGACAATTCCTGCGCGCATCGATGCCACACCTTCTTGAGGATCCTAATCTGGGATTTACATGTCCTGCTGCTGTCAGTGCTCCTCTCTTCACGGTTGTGTTGAGATACATATGCTTACTCCTCGAAAGACTTACTACAATAATGCAACTAATGACCCTCTGTTACAATCGCAAACAGTTGTGAACAAGTTCGAAGAGTGCTTCAGAGATCGAGTCAATAACGCCTGGTATGATTTCAAACGAGCTAGATTCTTTAGTTCAGAATGACTGATTTGTTGTACAGGAACACAGGCTCAGGTTGGGTCTGCAGACGGGATGCTTTAGACAACTTGGGCGGCTTTCCGATGAAGGACATCGCCGAGGACGTTCATTGCTCTAGTGGTATTCTGAATCTTGGATATAAGGCTGCTTTTCTCTCAGAGTCGTTGCAGTTTGGACTTGTCCCTGATGGATACAAGGGTCATTTGAAGCAACATCGACAATGGGTAAGCTCTCAAGAACCTTTATCATTTGAGGAACTCAATACTCATGCGCAGCGCAGAAACTTGGCGGGCTGCAGATCGGACTCGCGATGAAGTTTGGACTATTCGGCAAACAGGTAAAGGGAATGACTTGGAACCAACGGCTCTATTGGTTTTTCTATCCATTCAAGGCTCTCACAAGCCCCTTGGTCACGCTTGGTCTCTTCACCTCTCCTCTGTTCATGTTAGCCGACATTCCTTTGATTATCTATGATACTCCAGCAGACTTGAAGCATCTGACCCAGACCTCCGCTCTAGCATTTCTTTGCGCATTTTTCTTCAAATGCCATATCGCAGCTTTGACGGGGTTTAAGGCTTCTCTAATGGAGAACTGTAATGACATCTGGATGGCACCATGTAAATTTGCTCAGCACGCCATGTATGGATTTTGCTGACAGCTGGTAGATCACACCGTGACGCAAATGCGGACCTATATCCTGCCAAACTGGCTTGGAGGCAAACTTTTTACGTTCATTCCAACGGGGACCATTCCAAACGAACTGAACGAGAGGAGCAAAGCTAGGAGGTCTCCTCTGTACCACCGTCTTAGATTAATCCTATTAACCCATGGGGCTATCTTCCACTGCCTCTACAGCCTCTTTTGCTTGGTTGCTGTTGGGTTCATCGTCTCGAGGGCTGTTACCAATTACCGCGAGGACCCCGTCGGACGGAATGTCTATCTGCTGACACATTTGGGCTGGATACCTCTCCCGTGGTTCTTTTCGGCTTTTGCTTGTCTCACTCCTCTCAGATACGCGATTTTTCCACCGACGGTCCCTGAGCGAGAGGATCTCTTGGAGAGAGATCCACAGACAAACGTGGCGTATCCCATCAAAGAGGCACGCCGTGTACGATGGGAGTTTGAGATCATCGGATTTCAGAACCTCTACATTGTTGCAGCAATCTACTGTGCTGGTCTCCTGTATGGCACATCAATGTGGTGAAGCTGCCCAAAGGAGTGTTTCTGTTTTAGCTTAAGCACATCTGCATTACATATTTGTTTGGCTCTTCTTCGAGAGATATTCAGATACGGCGCTTGAAAGTCGAAAATGTTCAAAAGTATAATATTTTTCACTGTACAATTGCCTTGAAAAAGCTGCTATTCTCATTGCTCATACAAGTACCAAAGCCCGTCTCCACCAGACGTGAACAATTTGGGACTCGGATATAATATTTACTTATCATAATTATGAGACCAAGGTAGATTTTGAGGCCATGAATTCGAGGCATGCGTCCTGAACGCAGTTATTTTCTATACCTTGATGGTTGTGCGTAGTAGCAGAAATGCTTCCTAGTATTGTACAAATGCTATACAAAGGGCACGCCGAAGGAATCATCAATAAGACAAATACGTATGTTTGTCTCTTTTAGAATTTACACGAAAGGAAATAAGCGCAGAATCGGTAATACAACTACACATCCCGAAAGCTTTTATGAAATCGGTAATGCTCGGCATCTGCGGAAGTGGTGCACACAGACCTCCAGGTGATCATTATTCTCTGTGTTCGAAGTGTCGATCGTAAATGTAGAATCTGGGTGGGAATCGTTAGGACTCAAGTCTTGGGAGACAAGACTCGTCTCATATACCGCATCCACAACCGTGCCCCCCCAAAGTCACTGTGAAACACAAACCTTAAATTTCTCGACTCAAAACTTACTCGTACTACAGTATCAAAGTTACATCCTCCTCCCCCTTGTCCAAATGTCATTTGTGGGTATGCATACAAGTAGATAGTAAACTGAGTGGTTTTAGCCGCTAAATATTGTCCTTTCAAGCCTCGAAACCTTCTGTATAGACTTGAGTCCTTTCTACACTTACTCCCGCCTCTACCATATAAGATATCAAATACTAGATATTGCAATGAGGTTGTCAGGGCACTTTAGCCACTCACAAGACGAATCCAAGGTGTTGACCTATAAATGACATTTGGACAAGGGGAGGGATAGTAGTACTAGCAGTGAAGTGCAAACTTGACAGCGGCTAGAGCGGCACCTAAGAGGAAGATCCGTGCAGCGATAGAGTTGAACTAGGGAAACAAGCAGAAGTCAAATCCTTACTTCGGTGCAAGGGACACCGCAAGTAACCAGTTTTGAAAAAAAGCTAAATTTATCAATGCAGCAACTCTGTCCTACAGGGATTTTAACCACTACGAAGTTACGATAGCCGAAACTACGACTACTGCCTCATATTTTGTGGGCCATGCAGGTACGAGTGAGAGTACGATCCATGTAATCATAAAGTTGAATTAGAAACAAGTAGGAGTTGACTCCTTACCTTGATGCAAGGGGCTCCGCGAGAAATCAGTTGCGAACAAAAGCTAATTCTCCAATTTGAATCTGTACGGTACTGTACCCCTATAGCACAAGGATCTTTGACCCTTACGAACTTTCGATAGCCCATAGCAAGAATTTTGCCTCGGCAATCTGTGGATCATGCATGTAGGAGGTGTATGAGCTCTCACACAGACCTTGAACTGATGACCTATATCTTATTCGGGAAGAGAACGCTACATTTGACAGCGGAACTCTTTTCAACACCAAAATATGCCCGAACATTTAATTACTCAGGAAATCCTTTCTTGTTTTTCGCTCTTCAAAAATACATTTCAAAGAGATTCAAAGGCATGCCAGAGGTTCGTCACACGTCCCACCCTAAATTCATATTCGTCGCTTACTTCGTCAGAAATGTCTATAACCACAAAGCACAGATTCAACCTTCGCATCTTATGGCTATTTATTGCAGTTTTCATTTGGATATCCATATGGCGGGGTTTATCACTTCCCCTCCCACTTGGAGGTAGGATTTCAGCCGCCGACACCATAAGCCCCGACGATTGGCTGGTACGGCTAGCCAGTTCCATGGAAAGTTCGGAGACCGCAATACCAAATATCGTTCACTATGTTTGGATACTTAAACCCGACAGTAATCTCAGTTTTCAATTCAAACACTTCGTCAGCGTCTACTCAGCTGGCCTATATCTGAAAGCAGACACGGTCTTTATTCACACGAACGCAGATCCTGGCGTCGTATCACGAGCAAAAGATAGTGGAAGTTACTGGACGAAGAAGATGCTTCAGCTACCGTTTTTGACAGTACGACAGATGGAGTTCCCGACTCATACCAACAGAGGTGTAAAGTTAGATGCACTAGAGCATATCTCCGACTTCGCCCGTCCCAGTATTCTAAAAGAGTACGGAGGTGTCTATCTTGACTTTGATGCGATACCAATCCGAGATTTCAAGGCCCTGAGAGAGAGTGGCTTCAACAACGTCTTCGGACACGAACTCAACGAGAAAGTGAATAACGGAGTCATGCTGTCCAAGAAAGGAAGCCAGTTGATGGATATATTCGACCAAGAGCAGCATGCCGTTTTTGACGGCGATTGGATCACGCACAGTGTAAATCTGCTCACTTCCTTAGCGCAGGCGCTAGCCCGGGTAGAAGGAGAGGTTCTGATCCTGGAGCGTAAGGCTTTCAATCCAGATGGGGTAAATTATGTCCGAGCATTTTTATGCTTCTGAAGTCCAGATTGCATATACTAAGATCTCCCAGTGGCACCCCGATTACCACTCAGCGCTCTTCCGTAACCATTTCAGAGCTTCTCAGGAGGTTTTAAATCATGGGATCCAGACACAAGCACCCATTGGTCAGACAGATGATAAGTTGTCTGCTATAGAGGCTTGGAATCAGACACAGCATCAAGCACGGGAGGACTGGGAGATAGATTACTCCATGGCATATCTCATCCATGCCTCGAGTCCTCATATTGAACCACCAACACCTGACTGTGAAGATATAAAGTGGAGGTATGTGATGGACAGGAGAAGCAACTATGCTAAGCAAGTGTATCCAGCAATGTTGCATGCAGTCGAAGCGGGTATAGTTTCGGCTGATGTGAGAGATCATGTTACTTGAGGATTTCGAGCTTAGAAATCTAATGCTATTCCATTAAATGGTTCATAGTTCGGTTTGCTCTCTTATTATTGAAGGTTTAGTGATAGGTCTAAAATTAATCTAATTTAAAGCAAAGCTAAACCTGTTAAAATTGCAGTTATATAAGGAGCTATTATAGAGAGAGAGAATCTTTTATATAAAGAGGTAGCGTACTTAGTAGTACGGCCTATAGTACTAAGTCTACGCTTATAATCCCTATATTTCTAATAGCTCTCTTATTCTTTATATCTATAGTAAATAAAGCTTTCCTAAGTAGTATAGTACTAAATATTCCTAAAGTAATACTAAAGTAAAGCTGAAGTATTATTAATAACTTATAGTATATCAGAAGCTTTAATTATACCTTATTAACTCTTATAATATACTAGCGTATATATAGTACTTATATTTCTTATTTTCCTAAGAGTTTAGTAACTTTATAGTATTAAGGTATATAAAATAATATAAGAGTATACTTAAATCGCTTTTTTATTAATAATTCCTTACTTTAACTATTCTTATTCTTCTCTTCTATTATAGCTACCTTATTCTTTCTAAGTAATCTTATAAATATCTTATATTATTTAAATAATTCTAAAGGTAGAGCCTTTATAATAGTATTTACTATATTATTATTTCCTAGAATATACTTTATTACTAATTTATTATAAGAAACTATATTATCTTAAATATAGAACTAGTAGATATTAATATACTTCGCCTTTAGATAGAATTTCTGTTTCTTTAAAAGAGATTTAACTCTAGTATTATTAAGATATAGTATAAGAATTTAAGATAGCTTTATATTAAGGTCTTTTTATAGCTTAAGTAACTAAGCTACTTTTTTAAAGCTATTACTAGTAGTTATTATCTTAGAATCTAAGCTAAAGAGAGCTATAGACCTTTACTTAATAGTAGCTTAAGAGATTAAACTCTTATAGAACTTTACTATTTATCCTTAGAATAATTTCCTATTATATTCTATTCCTTATATAATATTAGTCTAAATATTAAATATATTATTATCTAGCTTCTTCTTATATTTTATTCCTATTCTAAATATTATTCTATTATTTTCTATATACTATAGATATTAGAAGAGAGGTTTTATATCTTAGAGGTGAGATTTAAAGGGATTTAATATATACTATACTAGTTAGCTTATTATATAAGTAATATTAAGTCGTATAAGGTTTAAGAGGTATATTAAAGAGCTAATAATCTAATAAAATAGTAAGATCTCTTTAAAGGAAGCTAATATAATACCTTTATCTTTAGTTAACTCTCTTAGTATTATTCTAGTAATTATAAGTAAGGTATTACTTCTAGTTATAGCTATTCTAAACTTTTCTAATAGCTTTTATATATAAGCTATTTAATAAATCCGTAGAATCTTATTCTTCTTATCCTTCTTAACTTATAAGCTTATAAATATATTAATAGCTTTAAGGTCTTTATCTTTTTAAGTCTTTAAGAGCTATTTTTTAAGATATTCATAGTTAGTAGAGTTACTTATAATTAATATATTATTAATAAAGACTAATATATATATTATATTCTTAAAGATAAAGAGATTAAGGTTAGCTTCTAATATTTTTAAACTTAGCTTTTTTATATTATCTTTAATAAAGAGCTACTATTCTTTAAGTATTTATTTTAAGCTATAAAGAGAATATAAAAGCTTTAGATATATATCTTTCCTTCTATTTAGCTCTAAGTGAAGTTTATTTTATATCTCTAGCGTCTTATTATTTAGAATTATTATATATATATATATCTTCTTTTAAATATATATTTAAGAAGGTAGTATTAATATTAATATACTTAATCTTTAGGTCTCTTTTAGCTATAATAGTAAATAGTACTTATAAGGTAGAATAGCGTATAATACTTATAAAGGTATTAAAGTAGTTAAGGCTATGTTTTTACCTAAAGCCTCCATTAGTAAAAAGTTCTAGCTCCGGGTAGTAGCTAGTAGTCCGCTCTCAGCGCTATTTCTGCTATTTTAGCTAAAGTTATATATTAAAAAATTTAGAGATAGTTTTATACTATACTAATTTAAATATATACTAAAGGCTATATTAGCGACTCTAGTACTTCTAATTATACTATCTCCTTAAATAACTAGAATAGTCTTAACTCTTCACTTACTTCTATTATCCTTAGCTTTTTTATACTCTATAGCTTTTCTTACTACTATTAACTACTTTCTTTATTAATATACTACTTCTTTATTCTATATTAGATATACGCTCTCCTCTCTTAAAGCTATTAATATATATATTATTCTAGATACTACTATTATTATAATAGCTTCTATAATATATAATATTTATTATACTTATACTAAAAAGATAGCTTAAAGTGCTATAAGCTCTTTTAGTGCTATCTAGTACCTTAGCGCGATTTATACTACTTATTATATATATACTAATTATTACCTATAAGTTAATATTACTAGTATAGTTATATAATTATTTAGCTTTATTCTAGACCTCCCTTTTATACTTCTCTTCCCTTAGTTCTCTACTTTATACCTAATACTATTAACCTATAGTAATAGTCAGGCTATTACTTAAAGATACCTTACTTATAAGCTTTAATAAGCTCTAAATTATATAGTTTTTACTAGCTTTTCGCTTAGCTTATAATCTCCTTAAGTATTAAGTCGCTTTCTCTTTTAATCTTATATACTTATAATATAATAAATATTTTATATTACTTTATAAGCTATCTTACTTCCGAATTAATAAACTAATAAAGTAGAAGGCTCTAAAAACTTAATATAAGCTTAGTAATACTCTTAAGTAATAAAATTATAAGTTATAAAGTAGTTAAAGAATACTAAAAAGCAGTTAACTTATAATATAGCTTATAGCTAAGCACTTAAAGTAGTTAAGGTTTTCCCTAAAGTAGCTAACTTATAAGGTAGCTTATAGCTAAGTATTTAAAGTAGTCTAAGATTTATGAAAAGTAGTTAAAGTTCTCTTTAAAGTAGCTTACTTATAAGGTAATCTATAGATAAGTATCTAAAGTAATCTAAGATTTATAAAAAGTAATTAAAGCTTCTTATAAAGTAACTGACTTATAAGGTAGTTTATAGATAAGTATCTAGAGTAATCTAGAATTTATAAAAAGTAGTTAAGGCTTTCCTTAAAGTAACTAACTTATAAAGCAGTTTATAGCTAAGTATCTAGAGTAGTCTAAGCTTTATAAAAAGTAGTTAATTAACTAAGTAATTATCTTTCCTATGTAAAAGTAGCTCTTAAAAAATAGATTACCTATTAAGTAATCCGTGTCCTATAGTTATTCTCTAGGATATAATTAACTCTAGAGCTATATTCTTATTAGTCTATTAGTATTATAATATATTATAAGGTAACTACTTACTATACCTGAACTAAATTAACTATAGCTTTCTTATTATTCTCGATCCTCCGGGAATTAATCAGAACTATTATAAAGGTAATAATTCTATTATATTAGATCTTATTTAGTATTAGCCTTCTATTTAGCTAGATTAAAAGTATTTAATATATATTTCTCTTCTAAGTCGCGTAGAGACTTAGTTTAATCCTAGACTAATACAGCTTATAAGTGTTTCCTAATTAGTCTCCTCTATAATCTTAAATCGATCCTTATTTAGAAGAACTAAACTAGAGCCGACTTACTTAGCTTTAATAATTATAGCTTTAATAGTAAGAGAGTTTAGAACTATATCCTATATATATTAATTAATTTATCTTATCTACTTATAAATAGCTTAGTACTTACTTTTCTTTATCGCCTTCTTTCCCCTTACTAGTAGCCTAATATTAGTTAAAATAGTATAATTATTAAGTATATAACTTATTAATTCACTTACTAATATAAGGTAAAAGATCCTTAGAAGACTATTTTTAATTAGCTTCTATATTATCTCCTTTAGAATATACTTACTATATCTAATATACGCTTTATAGACTAAGCTTAACTTATAATATCTTTTACTACTACTATAGCTTTAAGCTATTTTCTTAATATGTTCTAAAAGGGAATATCTATAAACTCTAGTAAACTTTCTAAGTCCGGATTAATTATATTTTCTTAGTAATCTTTATTAGAAAGCCTTAAGTCTTTTACCTTTCTTATTATCCTCTTATCTTAGATTATTTTAAGTAATAAAAGTAGTAAAGAAGAATATAAGTTATTATCTTACTTATAACTTAGTATAAATTAATATCTACTCTTAATATAATATATACTTATATGTTTTACTCCCTTATATTATTAGTAAGATTATTAATATTTAAACCCTTAATCTATTCACTTTATATTAAAAAATATATACTACTTATTTCTATAAAAATATACTTTTATAAAATCCGGATTATTTAATAAATTATCTAGATTAGTATTAAAAGGAGTCTTAATAAGTTTTTCTACTATCTTAGTATAAGTAGCCTTAACTACTTTAGTAACTTTCTTATAAAGCTTAGTAAGAATCACTTTTTACTTTTTATTATTTATCCTTCTCTAACTTATATAAATAGAATAAAATAAAGCTATTATATATTAGTATTACTTAGTAACTATTACTTATATCTGAACTTATAAACTATTATTTATAAGAGTATATAGTATTACTTTAGTACTATAACTCTATTTATAATAAGCTAATATAATTATAGTACTAACTACTACTATAGTAGAACTATTAATAGAAATAAACTAAGATTTAATTATATTATATATTATATTAGTAAAGTATTTCTTCTATTAGTAGAGTAAAGCTAAATACTTTATTATAACTTTACTTATTTACTTTATTCGACTTAGCTTACTTAAATATTAACTATAGCTTTTACTTAGTGATTCAGAAAATATATTTTTAGGATCTAATAATAATATAATATAGTTTTATATTAATCTCTTTTAGAATTTCACTTAAGTATTAAGATCCTTTATCTTAGTATAACTACTAAATACTTATTAAATTATCTACTTAATAGACTTAAGTAAATCTAATCTACGATTACTAATATAGTCTCTTATCTACTTTTTATTAGTTTTATTTCTTATATTTAGTAGATAATAGATTTACTTTTTATATA